GCACCATTTTTAATTAATTAATTCTATTAAGAAAGTCAATCTGAAACCACGAACATACCTGCAGAAAAAAAAATCATGTTTTATCGTTTTTACAAGTCAATCTGCATGGATATTAATACAACGAAATGTAAAACGGATAGAATAGAAAGAAAAGAAGATTTCGACGTTCTAAAATCATCGAGCTCCGCCGCAAAATTTGGTTACTCCTCTAAATTGTTGATCATATCAATTGGATCCCTCTCGAGATCAAGCATAGTCATGCAAACCGAAATTAGACACTTCATTGTGCATAGCATCCACATGGAAGAGAGAAAAGCTTTTTTGGAATCCTCTTAAGCAAAGCTAGATGATCTTGTGCTATGATGTCACGATCCATCCATATATACTTTTTACTTATAGGAATCAGCGCATATAAATCATATAAATACTATACATACTTATGAGATGGAACATGACTCATAGATTTGTTATGCGATTTTTAAACATGTTCTTCTAAACAATATAGTGCATGATAAGTGAGAATGATTATGCGTATTGTCTCGAGAGATATACATGTTACATTTTATTTGTGCACCTATTTTTACAGTAGATGATGTTGAGCGTTAATCGTTCTCGTACCAGTTATATATGAGATTTTCTAGATGAGGTTAATGTGGAAGTTTAAAGACGAGAAAATCTCTTATGAATTCTAACATTCCATGCCGACATCATGGATATATGAATATATGATTAATAAAATTTATTTAAGTAGTCGACGTATTAAACAAAATAAATACGATATTTTATAGTATAAAAGTTAAGTTGAATATTGATTATTTATTTTGGTCTTATCGATAAGTAACATACAAGATGGTGACACAACAACATTAACACAAACGACTAAATTATCCATCTTAATCGAATCATCCGATTATTAAAACAAATACAAACTAAAGAAAACAATCGGTGGTCGAACTATTACTAACCAACCGAGGGTTAGCTAATTAATAGAATGAATTGGAATGGAGTATATTTTAGATTTGTTTGGAATATGTTTTTGGTATGGTGAATAATATCAAATTATTTGTTTCCACTATTGATTTTATCTATATTAGAGTTCCAGAAAATGTATATTTATTAAGATATTTACCTATAATCACTTATAATATTTCTCAGTAAAATATCTATCTAAAGTAATCAACATTTGATGGAAAAAAAAGAAGAAGAAGAGACTAAAATCACATGTATAAAGTATAATCTCTTTCCGTTTACTAAATTTGTGTCTTTACAGTTTCTTAACAAGAACATTGATATTTTACGAAACTTTTTAATAAGAAAATGATACTTTACGCCAAAAATAAAACTTACGAGAAAAATAAAAATCTTAATTAATGGCTTTATAAAAGCTTTATCACTCACCACAGAAATACAAAAGATTAAATTTAGTTGTTATGTCTAACGTCCTCGTGATCTCCAAAATTACGTTTAATCCATATTTAGTTAATTAATCTTCTAAAAGAAACATATAGATACAGAAAATCATGAGCATATTTCGATACAAACAAATATAAAAATTAAAACAATTTAATTTTTTTTCCTTCAATTGCAATGTGACTTGATTTTTAGTGTTGTTGTAATGACGTAACCATGTCTACATTTTTTTCTTTTGCTGTCTATAATTAACTAAATATGAATACTACTAATAAATATCGCAATCCTCTTTTTTTAACTATAGCTAGATACGAGTTGATTTAATTTAGTATTTGTTAGAAACAAAAGAGAAAAAAATCAACAAAAAGTCTTCAGTTTCATACTTTGGGGTTTGTGTT